CATAAAATCGCCTACAAACCATTCGAAGTGAGCACATCGTTTTAACTTTCTCGAACTGTGAACTATAGTCATCACTGTCATTAAAAAAGCAACAAAACCCGAATATTCGAGTCAAAATCTCGGAAGAAAGATCAGAAAGCGAACGACTTTGTGTGCCGACGGACAACATCGAGTGAGCAGTTGAAGCCAATTTCCCACGTAATTTTGCAGCTAAACTTGCCTGCTTGACTCTTTTGGATACTCTTAGCATGATTGTGTAGGAATACGTCCAGAAAATGTGATATTGGTACAATAAATCGCACGATAAGCACATGGAAGGCTAACCTGGAAACAACTCAAGCGCTAAAAATGGTTTTTGCGCAGAACGATGCCAGAATTTCAGTTCTGCGCATAGCAATATGCGTTGGTACAGAACGTGTTGAATTCTGGGTAAAACCTCGTACCGTGCAGGTTTCATGACTTGATGTCCACATTTTTGGTGTTTCGAAAGCTACCACTCAAATAGATATGCATTATTTCAGTATTGCAACATCTGGGTTCATCCTGAGTGAATAACAGAATAGAAAGGGTGCAAAGCTATGTTGAGCATGTTCGCCACACACTCTGAAGTTAATGCAAGGTTTCTCATAAAAGCACGAACCAACTACCGTACCAATCACCATGTTTATGCAATGAAACGCATATTTACACGCATATTTTAATAAAAGTTGGTGACGCCCAGTAAAAACATGCTGGGCCTATAATGGGGGATGCCCTCAACTAGTTAAATGTCAAAAAATAGAGAGGTGAGCTTATACATGGGGAGTGGCTTATGATCGGGGAAGTACGGTAATACACCAATGGAGAATTATCTCCAAGTATGAATTATCTATGAAAATAGTCACGCATTAATTTTTGTCTTTCCAGGTTTTTCAAAGAACAAGTACGACCTTTGGTGGTGACTGAGGAGCAGTATTTGTTTGTTTGTCACATGATAGGTCCATTCCTCCAGAGATTTCACCAAGAAAGAACAAGATGCCTGATGGAGGTAAGACTTATGTTTTAGGGTTGAATCAATAAATCTGATGGGGAAGGTCTAACAAACATAAATTAGGGGGTAAATTGATGTCATAAAACTAAACTAAAAAGTAAATGTGTCTGAAATGGAGTTGTACTTACTATATGCCACTCCACTAAGTATACTGTTAGTAATATCTAATTACCCATTCATATTTATGCAAATAACTGACCACCACAATTGTGTGTAGTTATGATCACAATTGATCATGAAGAAATAAAATACTCGCAAGAATGTGTGTCATTCATGCAATCTGCATCTGATTGAAAATTCCAAAGAAAATTTCATTATCCGGCTGCCACCCTAAAGTGAACATTTCATTATGGCTGCCACCCTAAGTCAACATTTAATTATGGCTGCCACCCTAAGTCAACATTTAATTATGGCTGCCACCCTAAGTCAACATTTAATTATGGCTGCCACCCTAAGTCAACATTTAATTATGGCTGCCACCCTAAGTCAACATTTAATTATGGCTGCCACCCTAAGTCAACATTTAATTATGGCTGCCACCCTAAGTCAACATTTAATTATGACTGCCACCCTAAGTCAACATTTAATTATGGCTGCCACCCTAAGTCAACATTTAATTATGGCTGCCACCCTAAAGTAAACATTTTATTATGGCTGCCACCCTAAGTCAACATTTAATTATGGCTGCCATCCTAAGTCAACATTTAATTATGGCTGCCACCCTAAGTCAACATTTAATTATGGCTGCCACCCTAATTCAACATTTAATTATGGCTGCCACCCTAAGTCAACATTTAATTATGGCTGCCACCCTAAGTCAACATTTTATTATGGCTGCCACCCTAAGTCAACATTTAATTATGGCTGCCACCCTAAAGTCAACATGTCATTATGGTTGCCACCCTAAAATGAATATTTCATTATGGCTGCCACCCTAAAGTAAACATTTTATTATGGCTGCCACCCTAAGTCAACATTTAATTATGGCTGCCACCCTAAAATCAACATGTCATTATGGTTGCCACCCTAAAATGAATATTTCATTATGGCTGCCACCCTAAAGTCAACATGTCATTATGGTTGCCACCTCAAAGTGAACATTTCATTATGGTTGCCACCCTAAAATGGATATTTCATTATGGCTGCCACCCTAAAGTCAACATGTCATTATGGTTGCCACCGTAAAGTGAATATTTCATTATGGCTGCCACCCTAAAGTAAACATTTTATTATGGCTGCCACCCTAAAGTGAACATTTCATTATGGCTGCCACCCTAAAGTGAACATTTCATTATGGCTGCCACCCTAAAGTGAACATTTCATTATGGCTGCCACCCTAAAGTGAACATTTCATTATGGCTGCCACCCTAAAGTGAACATTTCATTATGGCTGCCACCCTAAAGTGAACATTTCATTATGGCTGCCACCCTAAAGTGAATATTTCATTATGGCTGCCACCATAAAGTGAACATTTCATTATGGCTCTCCACTCTGAAGTGAACATTTCATTATGGCTGCCACCCTAAAGTGAATATTTCATTATGGCTGCCACCATAAAGTGAACATTTCATTATGGCTGCCACCCTAAAGTGAATATTTCATTATGGCTGCCACCATAAAGTGAACATTTCATTATGGCTGCCACCATAAAGTTAACATTTCATTATGGCTGCTACCCTAAAGTGAACATTTCATTATGGCTGCCACCCTAAAGTGAACATTTTATTATGGCTGCCACCTTAAAGTGAACATTTCATTATGGCTGCCACCCTAAAGTGAACATTTCATTATGGCTGCCACCCTAAAGTGAACATTTAATGGCTGCCACCATAAAGTGAACATTTCATTATGGCTGCCACCATAAAGTGCATACTGTGGAATACTTTATTTTCGCTGGAATTAATTTTCGCTGAAAAAGTTTTTTGGGCATTTTGTATGGAATTTATTTTCACTGATTATTGATGAGTTTAATGTGAAATATAGGAAAAAAAGTATATTCGCTGGATTTTATTTTCACGGAATCATCCCTTCAGCGAAAATAGCGAAAATAAATTCCAAGCGAAAATAAAGTATTCTACAGTATTTCATTATGGCTGCCACCATAAAGTAAACTTTTCAATATGGTTGCCAACAGTCGAGATATGGCTGGAACCAACAGCAGCAATTCCTAAATGGCAAATCAGTTAAACCATATCACAGAAATACATAAACTGTGACAGCATTCTTCCCCTATTCCTAATTAACTTTATTTTCTTTCATCTAGTTGACTACAGAGTTGTATGAGATGTTAGAGCAAGTAGACAGAAACTCTTCACATATCAACAACATGGATCCTATATGCGATTTCTTGTATCCTTTCCATTATATTATTGTATTGGCTGAAATCATGCATGTTTTGGAGTTCTGAGATGATTGTTATATGCATTATTTTTGTTGTCTTCTTATTACAGTTGTTGAATAGTTGCTGCAATTCCAATCTCTATATCTTATTTAGGGACTAGAATCAGAACCAACAATAGATGAAAAAATGTCAAAGGTACAAATAAAATTGACATAGCTAATATATGTGGGAGGAAGTATGGTTAATAGGCTAATTATGGCAAATATTGTTGATTTAGTTAATATAGTTGATATGGTTTATATGCCAATTTTGGCAAATATGGTTTATATGTTTAATATGTCAAGTATATAGTGACATGGTTGATATGACAACAATTGTTGACATGCCAATAAAGACAAATGTAGTTAATATTATATTTGGTTAATATGGTTGATAGGATTACTTATAATATAGTAAATATGGCAGATTTGTTTTATATAAATAATTCAGCTGACAAATTATTTTTAGATAGACACTATCTTTTAGTCAAATACTTTAATAATGGAACTTAAGTATGTTTGTTTGATATATCTTAACTCTAGTGAAGATATCATGTTAAATACATGTTAACTGGTGATGGCGTGAAGAACGAAGCTGAGAAATGTATCAAGAATATGAAAGATCCAATGCAGTCACGATTGAAGTTTATAACACACATCAGTAAAACAGTGGAACAACATCAAGCACAGCAACAACCATTGCAACAGCAGGTACAGCAGCAGGTACAGCAACAGGTACAACAGCAGGTACAACATCAAGTACAGCAGCAAGTACAGCAGCAAGTACAACATCAAGTACAGCAGCAGCAGCAGCAACAGCAACAAATGCAGCAACAGATGCAGCATCAGCAACAGCATCCTTGACTCGTTAAACTACAATTATAGTATTTTTAGTCCCCGTTTGAACGCAGTCCGGAAACAGGGACTTATGTTTTGACCTTCGTGCGTCCGGACCTGTATCTTAGAAATGCCTGTACCAATCACATTCAAACTTCACAAATACATCATACATGACATTATACATACTCACATCAATTTGTTTTACAATCTGATTCAAGATGGCTGAATGGCAGCCATTTTTGTACCGAAAAATCATGAAAATTAAGCATTTCTCAGCTGTTTACAGATGGATTTTGTTCAAACTTGGTATATACATTGGACATTGTAAGACCATGATGCACATCATTTTGTTTTTCAGATAAAATTCAAAATCGCCGACTGGCAGCCATTTTGTTTTAATGAATGTGGTTCTAGTGGCATATCTCTGACTTACTTTGACTGATTATATTCATTATACATCATGTCATAGATATACAGATATACTGGTTTGACGATCTTATTACAAATGGCTGAATGGTGGCCATTTTTGTGCTAAAAAATCATCAAATATCAAGCATTTGTGGATGGATTTCGTTCATACCTATAACTGAAACAACATTTGTAGTAGTATATGTACAGTAGTAGTTGTTAATCAGCAGCACCAACACTAAAACTGAAAGGTCATATCCATTGTTTAACATATTGGAGGCCACATACATTTTTCTATGCACGTTCTGAGCAGTAGATAAGTGAAACAGCAATCCAATGTGTGTCACACGCAACGTAATATTACCGTAATTGGTATAGTACAGGTGTGATGGTCCAAATACCAAAATGGCAACAGTAACAGAAAGACTTCCCTGGCGGCGATGATAAAATACGAACACAGAGCCAACAGATGAGGTTTCAACTGGTACTGGTATTATTATACTCTGCAAACATCAAGTACAATAACGCGGTAAAACTCCACTACTCCAATAACTAGATACTTAAACTCCAATACAATTCAACAAGATCTCCGATCTGATCTCAGTGCTGAACAACTCCCCTATATACAATGTATACCCACACTGTCTATAAATAGACCATTACATCAGCATACATAATGAGTCTGGAACTTACTACAAATTTCTAGAATGTTCCATTACCTTCTATTGCCTCCTACAGTGTTCTATTACCTATTCAACCAGTTTCTAAAAATTCCACCCAGACACAGTATGGTTCTAGAACATTCTCAGTCACACGGAAGTGGTAAACAAGTCGTATGCGACAATGTGCCAATTGAGATTTCCCTTTTTTTTTAAAATAATTATCGCTAAAATGTAGTGATACATTAAAATGACCATGTGCCCCTTATCATGTATGGCCCGGCCAACCTTCCCTTCAATCATTTGCTATTCAAAGTGTAAGGTCTCTAAATCCAGCAATATTTTTTTTGCTGATGAGTTAGGCTTATTCCAGAAAGTAGTGTACTCGATACAGTATTATAAAATAAGTTCAAGGGAAATAAAACAATTTTTGTTACTTAATTTGTGTACCATGTGATTTCCCCAAATGTTTGTTTGTATTGTGTAGTCAACTTTTTAGCTCCGCTGTTGACAAAGTGGAGCTGTTCATATTACTGATTGTCCGTCGTTGTCGTCAACTTTACAATTTCAACTTCTTCTTCGAAACCGCAAGTCAGAATTTTTTCAAATTTGATATGCAAGTACCTTGGATGGTTCTTTCTCAGATTTGTTCATTTCATGTCAAAATCTCAAATTCTCTAATTTTGATGAATATTTTTGGTAAAAAGTGATATTTTCAACTTCTTGTTAAAAAAGGCAAGTCCTATTGCTTTGATATTACATATATAGGTCCTACATGTGGACCTCTCTCAGATTTGTTCATTTTGTAATGATATCTCCAATTATCTAATTTTGATGATTATTTTTGGTGAAAAGTGATATTTTTGAATTCTTGTTGAAAACAGCAAGTCCCATTGCTTTGATACTATACATATTGTTCATTTTCTAATGATATCTTCTGTTCTTTAATTGAAATGTGCATTGCTAACAGCGGAGCTATCTCGGCCGACAGGCTGCTTGTTACATTTTTATTTTGGTTAAAACAAGATCTTGAAATACCTCCCTCAAACTACAACACCGGACCCCTTCTTTCTATAGACATTCTAAGGCATTGTCACCTCATCTTAATTGAGGGTTGTAACAAGCATCAGGTTGCGAAGCTACCATAGGAGGAGTTACAGCGACGGCCTGAATCAGGCTTCTCACCACAGCGCTTTGCCTGATTAATGTAGTTGTTAACGTTAGAGCGGCATTTGTCTTGGTGACAACTGATTGGAGAAGTGCCAAACACGTGTTGGTACTCTATCATGCCAAAAACGTTCCGAAAACAAAACAACGCTAATGATTGGCGCATACAAATGAAACATAACACTGTCATTCCATATTAGGAATGACACGCGACTAACACGAGACAGAACTTTGATGGGAATTTTAGAGGTAAGCAGACAAAGTATCATGAGAACCCAATTGGAAACAATGTAACGAACGTTTGGAGATAGGGTCACGGTTGCTACAGAAACCGATCTAGTCTCTTGGGGTTCAACTCGTGGTTATCAAAACAATGTCTGAAGTTACAAACTAACTTAGACACATCATAAAGAAAGTGTAAAATTTCCCATGTTAGATAACTGTGCGCGACAAGGGAAAATAAAGACGTCTAAATGATTTTTACCTTGCCTGTATCTTCAAAGATGGAAGGGAACGGTTTATTAAGGGGAAAATGTCTGTTGTCGTTAATAATTGTTAATGTGTGCACAATAACGTTACTACTAATTCCAATCTCCAAACTTTATCAAACTTGGTCACCTAATTCATCAGTATAAAATCTCCCCTTAGTGCGAACGAAAGCGGTTTAAACATCAAGCACATCAACAAAAGTTGATCTGTGATGTGATCCAATCATTTGGCAGCTATAGACCATATTGCAATTTCAAATCATAGTGTATTGTGGGGTAGTTATGACTGCACCAAGCACAATTCTGCCACAATGTTAAATTGTCTGGCAATCCAAGGCATTAGTTCAGTGTAGAACAGGTATACATGCACTTGATCAGAAAAGAGCATATACCGGGTAAAAGCTGACATTTCATTTGTCATTTATTATCAAGGTACAAGATACATTTTTGGTTCAAATCAGCAATTCTTGTGTGTAAATCAACTATTCTGGAATATCCTTTATCATTTTAAAATTTTCAAATGAAAGTTAAAAGATCCCTAATGAAATATGGAAATGAATTGAATCAATTTGGTCTTGGTTTCATAATCTACTGAATATACAACCTGTGAATATTTCTTCTCTGAAACCACTTGCTATCAGTAACAAAATAACAGCACAACTTTATATAAAATATTAAGTTTTATTCATTTTAATATGAATTATACAAGTGATGATTTTATTTTAAAATTAAAGGGCCAAAATTTTAACAAATCTGGGAAAATAATGCTTTGTGAAAACCTAAGTTGGTATAAAAGTTGCCATTCATGGACACCAGATGGCGGGTGCCGACCAAACCTTTTGCATTTGAATGAACAAGAAGTTACTGTAAATGATTTAATTACTCGCTGGGATTTAATCTCACTTGTTCTGATGGAAAGCAAAATCTGTTAACTTGAGTCCACTTTAACAGGTAAAAATTACAATAAAACTCAAAGTTTGATGGTGGAATCCATGGGTACCCGGTAATATCATCAAAGTGAATGAAATTAAATACCAAGAGAAATTAATCATATATTTCACAGAGCAATGAAAACAACATAAAACGTGCAATTTTAGAAAGTTACAAAAATTGGATTTTTCAAATTGACTGCTAAACAGGAGAGTCTCTGTCAGTAATAACTCCAGTTAGACAATAATCTTTATTTTCAAAACCAAATATGGTCATAATAGGGGAAAATAATTGTCTGATAACATTTTGACAAGATACCCACCCAGTATGTAGCTTTTTGGAACATGGGAAACTGGAAACAATGTAAAATAAAAAAAGAATTAACTGTGGGAGAAGAAATGAGCCTGAAAGATATATAGGTATATCTATAACGGGAAATGTGTACTGTTATCCAAGATTGAAAGCCAGCTGGGAGCGCAACAGGGCTAATCTTTTACCAACAGTAATGTCTCATTAAAACATCACTGATCAGCAGCAGCGCAATTCTAATTTATGTCTGTGTATTGTGTTGCTAAGCTACATAATTGTATTGAAAAATGAATTTTGTAATTCAAATTGTGGATGAGAATAAAGTTACCACATGAAAAAAAGAGATCAAATTTTGCACCTAAACTTACCATATATTACTCAGATTCTGATGTATACGTTTATTAATGTCCAGAAGGGCACCCTCAATGTAAATTGATCTAGATACTTTTGTTTTTGCAAGGCAAAGGGAGGAAACAAAGATTTGCCTTCACCATTTACAGCAGGATTAAAAAAGACAAAGATATTTTAATATATGTATTACCGGTATTCTCTTTTTTTTTTCTTCAAAGAAGTGATTCTGTATAAAATAAAATGTTGAATTTGGCACTTAGACAGGTAATGAAAGGCTAGGGTGTTCGTTGGAGTTTGTATAACGCTAAAATTATCAGTACTTTTCATGTTAATTTCGACCGAAATATCCATGATTTTTGATACATTGAACATGTATTGAAATTGATAGTGACAAACATGATACCATAGTTACATTCTCATGTTACCGTATTTGCTCCATTAGTAGCATGTGCACTTTATTATATAAATTACAGACAGGTGTTTCTATGTTTAAAAAAAAAAAAATTATTATATTAGGTTTATATGCGTTTCTAATAGACCAAATACAGTATTTTTACAGAAATAAAGTACACATAAAATTGATATCTTCCAATCCGTTAACGGGTACATGTATACATTGTATGAGAGGCCATTCAAATGTAGTGAAGATGCTTTTGGCGATTTTTACAGAAAATTACTTTTACAACATAAAATGCATGTCATGTAATTATTAGCAATTTTGAAATACCAAGTGTATATAAATTATTATTATGATGAATGTAGCTATTCATATTTTTGACACAAGAAATTCCTGAAATTTCACTAAATTCTCTCCAGTGACTGATTAAAAACTTGAGGTAACCATGCTAGTTTTTGAAATATCAATTGTACATATTCTGAGCAATTCAACATGACTATCAAAGTACAGCTTATCGCTATGGGAACAAGTTTTCAGTTATTCCACTGTTTCTTTACAATGTCTTATTGATGGAACCTTTCAAAATATTAAAAATTCATAGTGCTTTGAAATTTTCTGTATTTTTACTACTATAAAATACTTTATTTTAGCTGGAATTAATTTTCGCTGAAAAAACTTGTTGGGCGTTTTGTATGGAATTTATTTTCACTGATTTTTGACAAGTTTAATGTGAAATATATGAAAAAAGGTATATTTGCTGGATTTTATTTTCACTGAATAATTCCTTCAGTGAAAATAGTAAAAATTAATTCTAAGCGAAAATAAAGTATTTTACAGTAGTTAGATGTATATTGTTTGTTTGTGAAAATTGTTGGGTTGTCTTTACGTTATTGAAAGAATCGTAAATTGATACCCAGTGATGCTGCAAAGTTAATGATTTAATTAATATATCGTTAAATAGTTAATATCTGAGCCTGATAAGGTCAGCGATATTTATTGTGCCTTTGGCGACAGATTTGTGTAGTTTCATTCACCATCAAATCATCAAACAGTTCGGACTACTGAGTATCCAATTAACTGCGTTAAAATTGAAGTGTCAGTCATCTTACAACATTATGTATTTGTACATGTATTTGTATACCAGTACGTCACGCGTATCGAATACGCTGAATGTAGCACATTAAAACCCAGTGAACATTTCCCTTTTCTACATATAATTAGAAGCTTATTCTTGAGCAACATTTTCCAGCAAAACTTTGTGTATACTGTAAAACATGTTGAAAAAGCAGCATGCAATTTTAGCGAATTGTGGTAAAATGACGTAATAGCGAAATATGATTTCTTTGTTTGGTGGCCATTTTGAATTGATAATAAAGTCAATATTAATAAAGACATCTTGAATTAGCGAATCAGTTCTCTCGCCAAATTCGCGAAAAAGACATGCTCACAAAAAAGACGTGTTTTACAGTATTTAGAGATACAGGCTGGGATAACAAACCAAAGTGGAACTAATTCAATAAAAAAGTACAAACATATACACAGAACCTTGTACGTTTCATGATATCTTTTTAAAAAGATGCTTTACCTTTTCCTTATTTTAAATTATATGTTTTAGAAGGTTAGAACCAGAGTAACATGAAAGAATGTTAGATTTATGCGAGGCCTTAAAAAAAAAAATATTTATTAAAATAAAAATAGAATGTTTTTTCAATGAAAAATTCAGCACAGTGATAATTCCATGTAGCATGGGCAGCGGTGAGGGATCATGTGATTTCTTCCCGTCATGTATGTGATTTGAAATATCATTAAATTTGTTAATGACGTTCAATGGGACAAAACTTTACACAAATTTTAATAGCTACAAACAATTTCTTGAAACTTTGATGTAATTCAAGATGTCTTCTTCAGCTGTTTATAAAAATAATCATTTCTGATATATGCATTAGTATTAATAAGTAAGCTCAACAATTTTTGAGGGGCAAAATTTTAACCATATTTAACTTATTTTTAAAAATTTATTAACAGTGATTTCTCAGTTGAAATTGATTTCTAGAATTATGTGATCAGACAGGAGTTGGGTCAAAGGTTACTTTTTTTAGCCACAATTAGAGTTAAAACTTGTTTTTCCCTGAAAAAGACAGAAAGTGCCTCAAAAACACTTTTATGTGATAATGAATATTTAACTTTTCCACTAGCACATATTCTTAAATATTTCTGGAGGTGAAATCTAATTTTTTTTGGAGCAAACAGGATAAATTTTAATAAATTTTCAGTTTTTAACCAAAAGATCTGGCTAATTTTGTCCCAATCTTCTGAAGGAAAGTGCAGACTATAAACGGGACTATTTTGTGAAGTTGTGATAAAAAGAGGGAACAGGTGGTTAAAAGATTAAAAAAAATATTTGGCCAGGATTGCTTTGAAATGATACCCATGGCTGCAGCATAAATAATTTTATCCCCAATTTACATTTTGCAAGTGCAAATTCTCAATCGAGAAAAGGTTTAGAAATATTAACACATGATTGACCGAAGATGGAAAACAAATCAAAACCCCCTAAATCTGAAAATTAGGAAAATTACAATTGCACCCAATCATAGCCATTTTGCAAGAGTCAATTTTGATTCAATGGTAAACCTGAGGGGCCTTGTTCAACAGTAGCAAAATTATAGTCTGCTTAAGGAATGTATTGAGACACCTTAGTACTCTACATATTGGCAGCTGTTGTTGTTTTGTTTTGTTTTTTAGAAAAAAAAAATTAAGAAACACATTTTTATCCTAAACAAAAAAATTGGAATGTCTTGAAGTAAAAATTTTTTACAGTCCCTGCATTTTAACTATGACTTTCCATCTTTTGACTTTGGCAACTTTGTTTGCGGTGAACGACGAGTTCCTCTCGGAGATCGGGTCTCTGTTGTACTAATATCCGAGGACCGCTTGCTTTGCTGTGTGGCGTATTGCATAGGTAATGAAGAAGAAGTGACTCGTGATGTATTACTGCGAGGGAATTTGCTCTGAGTTGTTGGAGAGGTAGAACCCCGTAATGCATACGAGGTCACTCTAGATTCATGCAGCTTTCGCCTGGGTGAAGCATGGCTAGTGTTGGTGGCAGACTCAACACTGGTCGATGGGGATTCTGCTCTGTTATATCTACTAGAAGCTCTAGATGGTGACGGAGAATACGATGATTTTAGTCTTGAATCTCCTGCAAGGAAAATAAGAGCCTAATTAGTCTTCAGTCAAAAAGTTGATTTGTTATATACCAATATATTAACATGTGGAAATATTATGTAAAGAAATTATTTGTTTCTTGTGACGTTCATTCGTTATTCGCTGTGAATAAAAAAAAAATACTGCATATGAAAGTCACTTTACAAAATGGCTGATCAATGTGTCACCCAATTCATCATGGCTACCATGAGAATAAAAATAGATATTCTAAAAATAAATTCCTGCAAGTGTTCCTAAATGTATGCAGGAATAAATCAACAAACATACAGCAAACAAGGCAACATAAACATTTTTAATAATAGGCCTGCAAAAACAACATAATTTCAAGACTTTCATAAACTGCCATGACCTAACCTATAACAGCTTAAAATAAATTAAGTCGATTGTAATTAACCCCTCCTCCTAAAAACACAAGATGTGTTATTCCAAATTGCTTTACTCCAGTATAAACTGGTATAGGTTGGCCATTTTGAAAAGCAACACAATTTACATGCGAGCATCAATTTTTAAATGATACTACACCTCACAAGGCCCTCTATGGTGAAGTAGGCCCTCTATGGTGAAGTGCTTGTCTAAATTGCAACTGGACTTCCATGGCAACTTTGCTTTCCTGAACTCTTGATTCTGCCAGAAAAAACACGGTTCAGCATTTTGGTTTATTTTATCATAAACTTGCAAGTTATTTTAGTGTTTACCAATTCAGGTTGAGATCAAACTAGTTTTATATTAATAGTGTAGCATAACTGAGACTTTAGTAATGTTAATTTTTATCATGCAAATTGTCAGCTGTGTTATTTCAAAAACAGCACAAAAACAGTTCTATGACAAACACTTTTGACAAAATTTGGGTTAATAAGGCCCAATTACATTACTGAATAGACTAACACATAAAATATTTTAGAGCTGAATCCTAATTATAATCAAGCTTTTGATTATTTTGCAATTCAAAATGGCTGCCACAGTGAAGTGGAACACAATCTTAGTTTCCATGGAAACGTGCTGGCTCCCCTTCCTCATTTGTATCCATTACATAATGTAACTCCATAAAATACCAGGTCTCTGTAGCATCAATTTGAATTATTCCTTTTTTTTTTTAACTACCGTATTTTTCCGATACCCCACTCTGGGTGATCTTTTGGAGAATGAGAATTTTTAAGTGATCACTGGTGCCATAAATATTGTTTTCAAGCTAAGAAAACATACTTTGATTATTACTCAGACAATATGATTATACTAGTTTACAAAATATCAGGTCATTGGTTTTTTATGAAAAGCAAGTATAATCAAATACAGAACTCTTGGGAATATAAAAAAATAATTTTTATGCTTAAAAATCATCAAAATCAAGCATTTCTGCCATTCTGGAGCCAGATCTTGGTTGTGTATGATTAGATTTCGTTTGGTACCTACATTGGTCATACTTTCAGATTGGATTCAAAATGGCTGACTGGTGGCCATTTTTTTCAACAAATGCTGTTCCAGGGCCTAATTGACAATCAAATTCAAATTTCAGTGACACATCATGTCACACATATATTTGTTTGATGATTAGATTCAAGATGGTTGAATATTGGTCATTTTAATGATTAAATTCCATCCCAGATCTTCTTGGTTATACATGGATAGCTATTGTACATAAAATGAACATTATATTGAAACTTTTATTTTCCCTTCCTTGGAAAAGAAAATACTTTCTTACTCTCATATGATTTGATTCAAAATGGCCGACTCTTTTCAATTTTGTTTACTATTTAACTAAAAGGGACTCTGTCATGTCATGACTTGTGTATAATAGGTAATCAATATGCACGGTTTCAATCCTAAACTAATCACTACCCATGTTTCATTGAAATCCGATGAGTTGTTATTGGAAATTCTAAAAATAGGTTGATTTATGCAAATAAGACAGTTAATATACACAGATTTCAAACAAAAAATATACAAGCCTGTGTAGTATTCCAGGACACTTAATAAATATGTTCCAAGTTTCATTTAATGTGATGACTGATTCTCAAGATATCAGTGGAAAAGGTGACAATTAGCTAATTATGCAAATTAGGATAATTATTAAACATGATTTCAATACAAAACTAACCAGGTTTGTGTACTATTCCAGGCACTTTGAAAAAAAATGGCTACAATAGACCTTATTCCAATAAAGTTCTCACTGAGAGAAAAAGAGTCCCCCCCCCCCCGCCAAATAGCATAATTATCTCCCACCATTGCGACCAGTGTTCTAAAATAAGACATACATCAGGAGGACAGTGAGAAAAAAGAACACAGTATGAGGGGTAAGAACAAGTAGTATCAAACCCATTTGTAAATAAGACCTATTAAGAATATCACTCAGGAATGAACAAATTACCTGACATACAAATCAAAATGAAACACCCTAGGCTTAGCATGTCATTTACTTCAACATCTGAAATCTGGCTGCCAATGACTAAACCACAGAATCCAATTTTTTTCCCACTAACATTTTATGCATTTTTCTATAATTTCTTTGTTAATTTTTGACTAATTAGATGCAATTTTCCATCCGTGGGAGGTCTTGCTCAGAATATTTGAAATAAAAAAAAATAATTAATGAAGGTTTGTGAAAAGTTGATTGGGGGTCAAAAAGTCAAACATGCCGATGGTTACAATGTTGGTGATGTGTGCTATCGCTTATTATTACTCAATCGGCATTAAACTGGTTATTTTTCAGAGGTTTATGATGTAACAAACAGGTTAATAACTTTAATAATTTAAGTGTTTATTCTTTCATCAACTACAAACATACCTGAGTATGAATGTCTGGTGGTGGTAGTTGTTGTTGTTGTTGACTTCAAATGACTTCTTCTAGTTTCAGTCTTCCGCTGCAATGCTGGTGACATCGACAATGATACCTCTGCTCGTTCTGATTTTTCTATTGGTTCAATGGTGACAGTAGATTGTACGGTGCGTTCTGAACTCTCCGGATCCATCATTAATCTCATTTCCACACTTTTTGCTTCCAGTTTTTCTCGTTCAAATGTCAGCTTTGATTGCACAACTTTTTCAGACCTTTGATTGTCTGACGTGCTTCCAACTGGCTGATTGTCACCTAACATCTCCCAGGATGGCTCCACTGTCAATTTCATTTCTATAGTTCTTTCCGATTTTTCCTGCGGTTCAACTGTCACTCTTGATTCAATAGTCCGTGGTTCAAAAACTTTGTCTGTCCTTGCTTTTTGGTTTTCAACATGAGATGGCAATTTTGACATTCCCGCTTTGATTTTTGAATCAGTGATATTTTCTGATTTGCGATATGAACACCGTGATGGTGACACATAAACAGTTCTTTCTGATTTACCTCGTGTATCAAGACTAGTCCGTAGTGATCTTTCTCTTGGTTTGACACTAAATTTTGAGTCCAATGACTTGGATTTACTCTTTCCAGATTCATAACTGCTCGATGTGTAAGGTGTCCTTGTTACAACACTTTGTGTATCCCTTTGTGCAGAACCATTCGGTTTATATGTTTTTACACAGCCTCCTGATGACACACTCTCCCGTGTTGAATTATTCACATTTTCTAAGTTTGTTACATTAGTAATTTTACTCAGCGGTGGAAGCACAGCCTGAGAGCTGGATGGTAATGACAACTGTCCACGTTGACGAGACCATGACCCCAAGTCAATCTCGGTTTGGTTGAGTGATGATTCTTTTCTACTACTATTCCTGAGTATTTGTTGCCAGTTCCCCTTGTTACGTTTTATATTTCTACACATTGTGTCACTAATTTTACATGGTAGAAATTGCTCCCAAGCTTTAAACAATGGCTCAACAACAAACTCTATGAATCCTGTAAAAAAAAAAGAAAATACAATTGTCTGTTTCAAGCTTGTCAATTCAATATATACCAGTAGTTGAAGAGACACAGTCTTTATGCATCATCTGTTCAAATTTTGTGTTGAATACTGCGCATGGCACACAAATATGACACAATGTTATGATTTTGTCGCTATAAATTTATCACACGTGATTTGCGATATGGGACCCATACAATATGAACACAATGTGGATACATGTAAGCCAACAAGCTTAAACATACAGCATATTATTATACATCTGTCATGTAACGTCTTAAGTTACAGCGTGTCGTAATTTTGCGATATTGCACTGGGTATTTTCATCACACTATATCAGGAAATGTGAATTCCAAATATGGGACGATTACACACGTAAGCGTCTTCTAATAATAAAAACAAACATAGTTGAACTCTGGTGACCTTGCCTTTTGTTATATAATATAATTCCCTTTATCATAGTTTGTTTCAATATAAATATGCATTGTCATAATTAATTTTGAATACAAACAAGTTTTGGGGTTGAACCAACAGTGGGGAATCAGTCTACCGAATGTCCTTAAAAGATGTAATTATCTTACAAAAACATTGGTGCCTTATTTGTTTCATTATTTTAAGGGACATAATTTCCAGCTTTATTCAAAGTAATTCAGATATTTTAGTATAAAAACAAATGTCTCATTGCAAAAAAAATGTGGATGAAATGTTTTGCTTTTAATGTATTTTTTATGTATTGTTTTTAAATTTGATAACTTTGAACTAAACAGATTTTCTATTAGCTTCAGATCTTGATCAAAGTTAGGCACCCAGTTCATAGGAGTGCTTATATTGATTTTCTGACATCTTGTTTTCTGTAAAGATTTTATTGGTAGGTTTGCAAATGTGTATCAGACTGTGCAATCTCTCCATGAGTTGGTTTTCAAACCCAGTATGGGATTCTGAGATACATTACCAAGGATATTATTACAAGATAAATCATTTGCTTCTTTGAACACATACAACAATGCATATTTCCACTGAGATCAGTGACCTTTGATGTGATCAGTCAAGTAGAAACAGTCAAAATATTTTATCAGATTTTCTCAATTTTTGCATGATATTTTCATACAGGACATCTGTTGTTCAAACTCAGGGAAGACTTTATACTGATGAATAAAGTGATCAAGTTTGATAAAGTTTGGAATAGAATTAGTAAAGTTATTATGCACACAATAACAATTATTAACGACGACGACGACAACAACAACAACAACGCCGGACAAAATTTTTCCCTTAATATACCTTTCCCTTCCATCTTTGATGGTACGGGCAAGGTAAACATGGCAGCCCCAGAGTTTGACTGGACACCATACAAAGAAGTTCGCTCAATCTGTTCTGAACTTTTTGTATTTCGGCATTCGCATGATGTATCCTTGGGA